ACATGCTTACTTAAGCCAGTCTTGCTTGCTTGGCAATGTGTGTAGATCAAAGAGAAAACAAAATTATGTCAATAAACTGTGTTAAATAAACCAGCAGAGGCTTCCATGGGAGCATTTTGCTGTATATATATTCCTCACCTCTCTGATCATATATTTTTGTATATTTCTCATTCTTGAGTTCTATTACTCTCCCAACTTTGGAGATTCAGCCCCGGGTGCTCATGTCCACCTTCTCTTGATCCTTCTTCTTGATGTTCTTGATATTGCCACATCCACCACCATTGCAGTCTTACATTCCTTGTCTACCACCACATTGTCAAGTTCGTTGGCCAGTACTTGCTTGTTTATCTGGATTGGTAAGTCTCACAGCCCTGTTATTTCTATTCTGTGCAAATATTTCGGTACACAATACCAGCAACTTTGTGTGACCTCTCAGTATATGCGGTTACTGCTAACATCTTGCATATGCTATTATGTACTGGGTTGTCTCAGAGACCTCTTTGCACAGTCTACACTGTAGGTTCTGTATGATGTTGAAGGCCCCTGCTTTTTTAATCTGGTGCTCAATGCCTGTTCCTGTGCAACTAGAATTAGTGCTGAGTGTTGTTTTTTTAGTTTTGCCTTTTCCAACCACTGGTAGGATTTAAAGATGTGAGCCACATCTATTATCTGTTGATGTACATCACATGGAGAGGTTTGTCTTGCAATGGAACTTCCTCCTTATCTGTATCAGGACTTTCCTTAGCAGTTTATCATTGGCAGACATCTCTGGATTGTACTTGACACGCATCCATAATGTCCAGCTCTTCTCTTGGCCAAATTATTATTCCAGCTGGGTGCCTGATTTGTAGGGCGTATGTGTTGATGGCACGGTTCTTGTTTTTGCCATTGAGCTGGGCTTTCAGGGCCTGCCTACCTCTCTGATGGTACTTGTATGTTGCTGTCTTTCTTGCCTCTTCCTAATGGTTACAATGTGTTTGTGGTATCCCCAGGTACTTGGAGCTGTTTTCCTATTTGGCCTTCTGGCACCTCAACTCCTTCAGTCTAGATCATATTACCTCTTTTTGCTATTATCCACCAACACTTTTCTAGTCTGAACAATATGCTGATGTCCTTGCTATGTATCCTAGTTCACCTACTCACTCTTGTATTACCTTTACCTGTTGCATGTCATTTTGAGCACTTTTTGACTATATATACACCTTTTTCCAATACAGAGGTTTGCTTATTTCCACACTTATTTCCTTAAATATTCATGGGTGAATACCATCAGGCCCTGGGACTTTGTTTATTTTAACTTTCTTTAGATGCAGCAGCACCTTGCCTTGAGTCCTTTAATCACAATATTCCTGCACCTTTTTTTCAGCAATTATTTGCACATTTATTGCTTTAGGTTCCTCTTTAAAATGTAATGAAAACAACTACTTATTTAAAATTTCCTGATCTTCACTTACTAACACACCCATATATGATTTATGTGTACCTACACTATTTTTTTTCAAATATAATAAAAAAATAATTTTAATGTTGCTCTTGCTCTCGTTTACTTTTAATCATGTTGTTAATTTCTAGTTTGGTCCATATATGTAATCACCTTTTTATAGGCTTTATTAACTTATTTATATCATAGAAACATAGAAACATAGAAACATAGAATGTGACGGCAGATAAGAACCATTCGGCCCATCTAGTCTGCCCAATTTTCTAAAAACTTTCATTAGTCCCTAGCCTTATCTTATAGTTAGGATAGCCTTATGCCTATCCCACGCATGCTTAAACTCCTTTACTGTGTTAACCTCTACCACTTCAGCTGGAAGGCTATTCCATGCATCCACTACCCTCTCAGTAAAGTAATACTTCCTGATATTATTTTAAACCTTTGTCCCTCTAATTTAAGACTATGTCCTCTTGTTGTGGTAGTTTTTCTTCTTTTAAATATAGTCTCCTCCTTTACTGTGTTGATTCCCTTTATATATTTAAATGTTTCTATCATATCCCCCCTGTCTCGTCTTTCCTCCAAGCTATACATGTTAAGATCCTTTAACCTTTCCTGGTAAGTTTTATCCCGCAATCCATGAACCAGTTTGGTAGCCCTTCTCTGAACCCTCTCTAAGGTATCAATATCCTTCTGAAGATACGGTCTCCAGTACTGTGTACAATACTCCCAAGTGAGGTCTCACCAGTGTTCTGTACAATGGCATGAGCACTTCCCTCTTTCTACTGCTAATACCTCTCCCTATACAACCAAGCATTCTGCTAGCATTTCTTGCTGCTCTATTACATTGTCTGCCTACCTTTAAGTCATCAGAAATAATCACCCTAAATCCCTTTCCTCATATGTTGAGGTTAGAACTCTATCAAATATTCTGTACTCTGCCCTTGGGTTTTTACGTCCAAGATGCATTATCTTGCACTTATCCACATTAAATGTCAGCTGCCACAATTCTGACCATTTTTCTAGTTTACCTAAATCATTTGTCATTTGGCTTATCCCTCCTGGAACATCAACCCAGTTACATATCTTAGTATCATCAGCAAAAAGACATACCTTAACATCAAGACCTTCTGCAATATCACTAATAAAAATATTAAAGAGAATGGGTCCAAGTACAGATCCCTGAGGTATCCCACTGGTGACAAGTACAAGCTTTGAATATATTCCATTAACTACAACCCTCTGTTGCCTGTCACTCAGCCACTGTCTTACCCATTCAACAATATTGGAATCCAAACTTAAAGATTGCAGTTTATTGATCAGCCTTCTATGTGCAACAGTGTCAAAAGCCTTACTGAAATCTAGGTAAGCAATGTCTACTGCACCACCCTGATCTATTATTTTAGTTACCCAATCAAAAATCAATAAGATTAGTTTGGCATGATCTCCCTGAAGTAAACCCATGTTGTCTCTGATCTTGAAATCCATGTGTTTTTAGATGTTCATCAATCCTATCCTTTAACATGGTTTCCATCACTTTCCCACTACTGAAGTAAGGCTTACTGGCCTATAGTTGCCCGACTCCTCCCTATTACCTTTCTTGTAAATGGGCACAACATTCGCTAACTTCCAATCTTCTGGGACTACTCCTGTTAACAATGATTGGTTAAATAAATCTGTTAATGGTTTTGCTAGTACACCACTAAGCTCTTTTAATAGCTTTGGGTGTATTCCATCAGGTCCCATTGACTTATTTGTCTTTACTTTTGACAGTTGAAATAGAACCTCTTCCTCTGTAAACTCACGTGTAATAAATGACTCATTTATCCTTTTTCTCAACTGAGGTCCCTTTCCTTCATTTTCTTCTGTAAATACAGAGCAAAAATATTCATTGAGGCAGTCAGCCTGACCATATCGTAAATAGTATGCCTCTGATTTAAATACTTAAAATGCCCTTTTCTAATTTTTAGTTCATTGGCTTACCTTCCAACCAAGCCACATTGGCTTCCATTTGTTTCAATTGATATTCCATTTATCTTAAATGTTTTCCTTTTTTCCACAAAATAGTTAATGCCAGCCAATGAGTTTTAAAGATAGCCTTTTCTTATTAAAATTGGCTTTATTTTATTAAATAAACCAGTTCTGGGCTGGCTAATGTCAATTCTGAGCAGCTTTTGTCAACTGATTCTTTCAGCCAATGAATGGGGATGGCTGTGGAAGCTGGGAAAGCATCAGTGGACCACCAAGGAGCACTGAAGACCAGTGGGGACCCAGGGACCCAATTATAATGGTTTTCTGCATTACTGGGGAACCAGGCCAGGATACTCCTGACATCATAACCATTACACAGGACTGCTTGTAGCAACCCTTTAACTTCTAGAATTGTGTGTTATCTATTTCCCTTTTTTTTTTTTTTTTATGAAACTCAATTTTGGCCTTAAATCCTTTTTTCATTTAATTTATATATCAACAATGATTACCAACCTGTAGGAAAACAACTTTCAAGAGCCACTGGCCACTTATTTACGATCTGCTGATGTGCTAAAAAATGTCAGCACATCTTGCTTTTATGCCAACATTTCAGACCCTGTGTGAAATATTGCAAGATAAAGTACAGTGTGAACTGTATAAATCTTTTGTTTCTCCCCCCAAAAATCTATAAAAAAATAAACAAAAACAAAAAAGTGTGTAAATAATTTTAGATTTGGAGAATTTTTTTTTTTTTTTTTTAAATTGTGTACCGCTGGAAAGCTATTAGGGAGAGTAGTATATTGAAGTACTAAATAGCTCCAAAATAGATATAGGAGTCCAAACTACAGATGTAAAACTAGAACAACAAGGAAAGCAAAAAAAGAAAAATGTATTGGATATAAAAATTGCAATTAGCAATCACCCAAAGTGCTACACACTAAAACAATAGTGGAAACCTAAAAATAATAAAATAAACAATTACTACAGAGCACAGTAGCTCAATATGAAAACCTCTGAGGACATATAATTTATAGATAATCAGCAGAAGCACACGTCTGTGCTAACAGGAAAAGTGTGGTTGAAATAGCTAGGTGTAATACTGATATCAGGGGCAGGGCTCGAGTCCTGCAGGAACGCATGGGAACGGCGTTCCTGCACTTTTTCCAAAGCAGGAACGCCGTTCCCATTACCTGTCCTGCAGGACCGGCCCTGCTACCTGCACAGAGGGGCCATCACAAGCTGTGTTCCCTCTCCAACTATAACTCTCGCGAGACCCGCGGCTGTTACCATGGCAACGCTCCGCACAGGCGAGTCTCGCGAGAGTTAGAGCTGGAGAGGGAACACAGCGTGTGATGGCCCCTGTGTGCGGCGGCTGGCTCCCTCCAGCATACCACTGGGCGATCTCCCCCCTCTCTGACAAGGTAAGAAGCAGGGAGGGGGGAATAAAATAAACACATAAAGTAAGAAAAAAATGCTTCCCCCCCCCCACACATCATCCAGCACTCACACACACATCATCCAGCACACAAACACCCATAATCCAGCACTCACACACCCATCATCCAGCACTCACACACCCATCATCCAGCACTCACACACCCATCATCCAGCACTCACATCCATCATCCAGCACTCACACATCCATCATCCAGCACTCACACACCCATCATCCAGCACTTACACACACACATCATCCAGCACTCACACACACCCATCATCCAGCACTCACACACACCCATCATCCAGCACTCACACACACCCATCATCCAGCACTCACACACACCCATCATCCAGCACACACACACACATCATCCAGCACTCACACACACATCATCCAGCACTCACACACCCATCATCCAGCACTCTCACACACATCATCCAGCACTCACACACCCATCATCCAGCACTCTCACACACATCATCCAGCACTCACACACCCATCATCCAGCACTCACACACACACATCATCCAGCACTCACACACATCATCCAGCACTCACACACACGTCATCCAGCGTGCACACACACATCATCCAGAACACGCTGCATTCATTATACACACTCTGCATTCATTATACACATTCTGCACTCACTACACACTACATTCACTATACACACTCTGCATTCACTACAAACACACTACATACACTGCATTCATTGTACACACTCTGCACTCACTACAAACACACTAAATTCATTATACACAATTTGCACTTACTACAAACACACTACATTCATTGTACACACTCTGCACTCACTACAAACACACTACATTCACTATACACACTCTGCACTCACTACAAACACACTACATTCACTATACACACTCTGCATTCATTATACACACTCTGCACTCACTACAAAAACACTACATTCACTATACACACTGCATTCACTATACACACTGCACTCACTACAATACACACTGCACTCACTACAAATACACTACATTTGTTATACACACTCTGCACTCACTACAAATACACTACATTTGTTATACACACTCTGCACTCACTACAAATACACTACATTCATTATACACACTCTGCACTCACTAAAAACACACTGCATTCATTATAAACACTCTGCACTCACTACAAATACACTACAATTATTCACACTGCACTCACTACAAACTACATTTATTATACACACTGCACTCACTACAAATACACTACATTTGTTATACACACTGCACTCACTACAAATACACTACATCTGTTATACACACTGCACTCACTACAAATACACTACATTCATTATACACACTCTGCACTCACTAAAAACACACTGCATTCATTATACACACTCTGCACTCACTACAAATACACTACATTTATTATTCATACTCTGCATTCACTACAAACACACTACATTCATTATACACACCCTGCACTGCACTATATGCATAGGAGTGTAATTTTTTTTAAATTTTTTTTTTTAAGGGGGTGGAGGCGGGAATCTTGGGTGAGTTCGCACACCTTTTTCCCCGGGACTTGACCCCTGATCAGGGGGATATAGAGCCAATAGTTATTAGTCAAGCGGCATGAAGCATGTGAGTGCTACATACTATGAGTACAGGATACAGGTAATTATTAAAGATAATTATAATATGTGTGGTTACTAGTCTAGGTACTAAAATAAACTGAAATACAATACACTAGATAATGCGCCGTAAGAATGCTATAATAGCATAGGAATACACCTACACAACTTGAATTAATATGTAGTTATGGTGCACCCAGATTGCTAATATGAAGATTGTTAAGACACTCCGGAAACCTTGGAGTGAAACCGCCATTTAGTTGAGCTTTCCCATTCACAATCTTGCCATCTCCATTCGTATAGAATTCAGCGTACGAACTGCAACCAGGGGAAAAGTGGTAATCTCCCGAATGGGATCTGTAAGAGTACTCCAAACTCCCGAACAATAATCCACAAATCGTCGCTAACCGCCGAACAAGTATATCCTCCGAGCGGCTTTCGGCTACAGCAATCAGTCTCTATCCGTCGGTAATAAATCCCCCCCAATAACGAGACCAAGCTCCGCATTGTGGGTAAAACAAGAACTGTGTTTACTGTGGGCTACAGTCTTTCGGTATGCGATTGACTCCACGGGAAGGCTATCTGGGTTAAGTCTCTTTGTGTAATCTAAAACTCCCGAACGGCCGGTGTTCGCATGCTTTTGTCGATTGAGAAGGGCGGTCTGTAGTTTCAGCGATGTTCGGCAGAAAAAGTGTCCATTTTTAGTTCCATAGAATCAATGCCGAACACCGCTTGTCTTTTGCGTGGTTTAAAAAAGTCAAACAATCAAAGGAAGGCAAACTAGATGAACTGACAAATAATAGTCATACAGATGCGTCTGTCACAAAGATAGCATAGTCTAATGTATTAAGACGAGCTGAAACGCAAATTTGAGATACTTGGCAATGTTAATTCTACTAGTAGCGTGTGAATACCGCATGTAGTGGTTAACTGTAGATTTATAGTTATTGCTGATGTAGAAACAGTATAAATGTAAAACATTTTTGCAGTTACCACCATGCTGGAGAACATAGACACTTATCTCATAAGCACAATGGCAGTATGGTTAGATAGATTAAGACAGAAGATGATTGCTTTATAAAAGATTATGCTGGAGGGACATGTACAATTCGACTAGCATTATCTAACTGGAAAGCATTGAAGTTACATTGTATCCCTAAGTTGATAGTATGTGCTGTAGATAAATTGTTGCAGTATGCAATTGCTGTCACAGAGCAAATGCCAAAGATCCTATGAGGTAATCAGCTAAAATAACGCTAGTACTGTGTGACTAGAAAGCGTAAGAGTGAGGCTGTGTACCTAAATACAATAGAAACGTGATGCTGGTTGCAGCCCTCCGTGCCTTTGAGGGCACCTGGATCTATCCCTGCTAAATTATGAGATGTACGCTGACATACTAAACTCTAAAACAGCATATATATAGCCATGCTGAAAGTTATCAAAATAGGCTGTATCCCTAAGTCCAATGCTGACTAGATGCTAGCTGTTACCCCCCGTGCCTTCGAGGGCACCTAAATTTCCCCTGCTAGATAAGTTATAATAAGTAAACGAAAACAGAGATAAAAGCTGTCATTCTAAGATCTGAGACAGCGTGAAAATAAACCCCTGACGCGCGCGTTTTGCCCGAACTGGCTCGTCAGAAGGGAACCGTTCGGTATGAAGCACCCGGTTAAAAAGGAAGAAGTTAGTCCTGATTGGTCGCTGATGAATTAATGCGATTGGCTATGACTATAATGTCATCATAGGGGTGGATCTATCCAGACAGAGGTGTGATAGAGAGATTTTAACCCCAAAAATTGAGAATGAAAGAGAAGACTAGGAATTAGTATACAATTTAAAGAGAGTAATTATTATTTCAAGAAGAGAAAATTATGAGAAAATTGTTAACAAGGACTGGAATGACAATATTTTATGATGATGACAACAGACAATAATAGGGTATATAGTTATTATCAAATAGTATGTGCTTAAAGATGAAAACATTATCCCATATGTAGGACTTGAAAAGAAATTACCATAATAGTGAAAATCTTATTTTCACACTAACTGCTGTATTGCATATTGTTAGGGGGAGATGTTATTACTAACAATTCGATACTGGCAAAGCACAGTAATAGAATGTATACGTAATTATCCAGGTAGACATATAAAGATAAAAGGGATATATCAATATATGTATATCCTCTATATAGGGATGAAGAGAAATGATAAAAGTTATAATACCCCAATAGCTGCTGTATTATTTATTACTATATTAGGAACAACTGATTTGATGAGAAAAAAAATCGAGATAAGCAATAAATAAATAATAAAGACCCAAACTAATACCTTTCCATCGGTACACAATTCTTTTTTACATTTTTTCTCTATTTCCACTAGGGATTATCCCCCTTCTTCTAGTGTACCATATCAGACTGTATACAGTGTTTTTTAATTTTAGATTTGTTTTTTATTTTTTAGTTTGTTTTAAATGCACTCATATATGTTTTATGTTTATCCACTAGGTATACATTGGTTGTTTAAAAAAAAAAAAAATCCTTATATTTTTTATATCAGTACTTGGTAGTGGTGAAGGAGTTAATGTTAATGTTTGCATACTTTTATTTTTTAATGTACCTCCTAAGACCATTATTTAGCACATTTCCCTTATTTCATTTTTGGGTATAACTTGGGTATAATGTTGAGATATGTTGACTTTATTTCTAGTAGTCTCGTTTACAAGCTAAATTATTTTTCTGCAATCTCAAAATCACATTATGAATAGAGGTATCATATGTTCCATTTCTTCAGTCAATTTCTGCATAATTAAAATCTCCCATAATTACAACTTGGTCTAACCGAGCAGCATTTTCAAATTACACAAGCAGATGTGTTTCTGGAAATTCAATATTTCATTTTAGGCTTTTGCCTCCGCTGAAAATATGCATGAAAGTTAACAAAACAGTGGATGCAGGCATTCATAAAATTACAATAAAATAAGATACAATTTAATTAAGAACAAGTAAAGCAACATATACACAGAGAGAGATTATGAGGATTTGATATTAACTTGCATGTTAGAATATCCTAAAACCTAATTTTAAATTGAAACCAGCTGGTACGGTAAGTAGCAGTTCTACGTTCCCATAATATTCTGTTGGAGTCAATAACAGTAACCACAGCCTGGAGTTTCCTGTTGCTAATGGTAAGATTTTGTGAGTAAAGTCTGGTTGGAAATGTCAACAATGGAAACAAGCCATAAATGCGAAGGCAGGTATTTAGCATTGGAGGGGGGTCGCAAAGAAGGTCTTCGGTGCCTAATGTGTTAAACAGCTTTAGATTTTGTTAGTAAGGGAAGCTTTCTTTTGTGGTTCTTGCCTGCTATACAGTTTAATTAATTTGTCAGCACAAATGATTCTTGAAAAGAGAAGGGTTTATAATGGTTCTATTTTGGTCTTTGTAATTACCACTTACTCATATGTATTTTGCTTTCAATCTTCCTCCAGGTAGCAAATTATAATGCTGACGCTTTACTTACAAACAATCAAGAAATAATAATGGTGCCAGGAAAAGAGGTATTACACAGAATCTACTGAAGAAAAAAAAATGTATGCAGAAAAACAAAACTAAAAAAAACAAAACACAACATTCTATTTATATTGCATTCCTTACTGGGCATCTTGCTATTATATCTTGTAAATGTGTTTAAACTATTTTCTTAAAATATCATAAGATGAGCATTTTGCCATTCTACTAAGCAGGAGAACAACATGACTATGAAAAGAAAATGTATGTTAGGTACAGATTTCTGAAAGACAGCACAGTAGTATGCTCCATTTCCTTTTAATCAGCTATGTAGTTGCTGTCTTTTATGAGTGTCCAAAATTATTTCATATTCATTTCAGTTATCTTTCCTGAGAGTCCAGACTTAGGATATCATCCTGTCTTCTCCTTGACCATCTGTCAGTTTCTAATTATGCTATAGTTTTATTAGCATAATACAAAACTGTATTAATAACACTAAAGTGTCTCTCTGCTCTGCCACTCCTCCAGTGAATAAAGGGTTAAAACCCCTTTTTCACTTACCTAATTCCATCATTCCTCAATGCTGGATCGCTCTTTGCCTCCTTTGACATCAGTGAGATCCCATGCGTGCTTTAGGTCTTCCCCATAGGAAAATGTAACAAAGCTCTCATACTCTGACCACCTCCGACCTCTGCCATGTCCACTTTCTCGCTGCCACAGGGGACTCTGGAACATTTGAAACCCAGTCGCTGAAGCCTGACTAAGTTCTCTCAGGAACTCTTCCACCCGACCAGGCTGCAGCTCTCTCCATCCAGGCAGGTATTGTCCCCTCTGCCTTTTTTTTCTTCAGCTTCTTTCCCAGGCAGCTTTCCATACTTCTGCCTATACTGTGATCAGCTACTGCCTTTATAAAGGCACATGTGGCTCTCCTAGAACAAAGGGAAAATTGTTATATAATGAAACTAAGAAATGGTGGGAAATTTCGTTCCTCCAAAATTACTTAAAAGAGGGTTTGATCTCCAGGGGATTAAGAATTGATAAAAAATGCCAGCATAGGGCTTAGAAAACTAGACCTTCCTAAAAAAATGGGAAGAGATGTTACTTAATTGTTCAATTAATCAATAAATCAATCTGATAATTGAATACTCTAAGGGAACTAAATAGAAAAATAGATCAAGACCTAGAACTATTGGAGTCAGGTAATCCATTTGATAAAGAGGGAGATAAATACAAAGAAAAGGAAACATTAGTGTACAACTAGAGAAATAATTTGGATGAGAAAATCACAGAAACAAAAAGTAAGAAATATAAAAGAGACAAGAAGCATACAATATTGAATACCTTTTCTATACAAAGTAAATGGTTAACAAAAGAATGGGACGAAAATATATAAACCGACAAAGATTTGAACAGGGAACTCCCAAAAAGAGAGAAATTAATATAAAGAGAAGGCAACCCTGAGGAAAACATCCAACTCAAAAACATTATCATCAATGAAATTCACCCCAAAAAGATTCACCCCACATATCAAATAGGGGACTGTTAATAGCTCCTGACTGATTCCTTTTCTGCAAGTGATAAAAGGATTAATTTCTTGAATGTGACCTTATTCAATCAGGATAAAGATGTTAAATCTCGATGTTTCTTTAAGCCAACAGATGGCAACAGTTATGTTCATTGTAAAAGTTGCCATCACCAACTGTGGCTGAGATGCATAGCCAGAAGTCAATTCAATCGAGTGAGATGGAACTGTTCCAACACTCGAGATTATGAACTACAAGCCAATCACATAAATAATAAACTATTGTAAAAGGGGTATAAAAGGAACCCCATAGAAAATGAAATAAAACTGGCTAGGAATAAAAAAATACATTTACTACATATGGATAAACCAAAAAAATAGTCAAAACAAAAAGTTTCAACAGAGTTTTATAACAGGATATAACAAAGATGATTGGAAAACAAGGAGAGGTCTGGGTAAACACTAGCCTTTCCTCCTGCTGGACCCTATATTGAATACCATTTTGCCAAATAATCCTACAAAACCTTTTGGCCCCTATATATGCAAGAGGTATACAAACCAATAAACAAGGGAAGGACCCGAGAGATCCAGGTTTTAGTTAATGCGGGAAATGTAAAGCCTGACGAACTATAAATTTGTCAAAAACCAAGTCTTTTAAGAGTAACATAACAAAAGAGGAACTCCAAGCTAGAACATGGTTTGATTGCTGCACAGACTTTATTTATTTATTGCAGTATCCATGCAGCAAGCAATATGTGCTTTAAAGTTAGGATGTTGGAACATGCTAATAACACTAGGAAAAAACGTGTGACCCATTCGGTTCCAGTGCACTGCCACTCCTGTCCGAGTTTTGATTTTTAAAGAATTTCATCTGTTAAGGGATCGAAAAAGGTGAGCCTCGTTGGAGGGGAGGGGACAGATAGAGATCTTTGTCCCAAAGTGAAACTTTTTGGATTCATAAACTGCAGACACTGGAACCAAAGGGTTTGAATGTAGACTTCGATCTGGTTTGTTTTTTGTAAATGAGATGAGACATGTACAGATAGTTGTATCCCACTGGACAGGCTCATATAGATTTAGAAACACATAAAGGCAAAAGTTGTTTTCAAATAATATATACACATTTTTTATATTTATTTATTTATTTTGTATTTTGTGGAGTGGTAGTATGTTACCACTACTGAAGTCCCTTTTAGTTGGAAGATGAGGAAATTTATTTTAATACATATAAAGAAAATAAAAGTAAATACTTGAATTAACATTTGGTGTGGAGTAACAGCATCCAACCACTAGCCATTTTGAGCCGATCAGGTGGGAGAATTCATTTAAAATGCATATATGTAAATAATGAAAAAGGAAATAAAAATCGACATTTATTGTAACTGTTTAGGTTTTAAACCTAGATAGAATCTGATTAAATTTATCTATAACCGAGGCACTTTGTTTTCCGCTTGAATAGAGATTTGCAAACGATCCCATTATGTTTCATACATAATATGGGAATTTGTGATCAATAAAGTTGCATTCAAAATTCGACATGCACGGAAGTAGGTGGTGGAACGCAAGCCAAAGGAAGGAAGAACATGGAATCACACGACGTCTATTGAATTATTTCAAATAGCTGGTGAGACCGATAGAGAAGAAAATCGAAGGAGAAATAGAAACACCCGTAAACACACCGGAGGACATCAGGCATTATCCTATTTAAGAGAATGGGAACAGGGAGTGGGTAGGAAAACATATTGTTACTGAGAATGTTTTTTATAATTGTAACTGTATAATTTCTGGACCCTGAGGAAGTCTTTGCGGAGAAGAAATGCATTGGAACAGTAACCTATTGTTTTTATATTTTATCTTTTTTATTTATGCTAAATAAATTCATTATACCTACCAACCTGGTTCCCGATTTCCAGCTTGGAACATTATCAAAAAATGGAGGATCCTGATCTCCCTAACAAGGGAAGACAACCTGAAGGTGCTTTTTACACTGGATGTCTGTGAGTTCTATATTAAGCAGGGGCACTGCTTCATATGTTATAACAGTGTTGCACTATTGTTTGTTGCTTTTATTTTCAGACCTACATATTTTCTGTACCATATCACTTGTGGCTCTCGGGCCTTTTTGTTTTACTTGTCCCTGTCTACAAGGACCAAGTAGCTAGCCAACAGGTCTGAAGACTCTGTTACAGGGACCCCTGAACAGATCAACCAAAAGTAACTAGCATGCAAAGCTTTACTTTACTTGGGACTAGCCCATATGCCCATTAAGCTTATGGTGACAAACCCAATTTAATATGAATAACCAAATAATCTGGTGAAACATACACTCATAGAAAACACTTATTGGTGGTTAGGTGACTTTTGGCCCCCATTATTGAAGCTGGACTTCCTCACGCTCTGCATAAGGACATCCAACATCAGTCAAATCCCGAAAGGAAAGAACTGTATCAATGCTTTACTATGGGGAGGTGACGTGGGGTGAACACCGACCCAGCGCCATGAATATTGTGTGACTTCAATGTTCTTTAAAACACTTCAAGCACCACAATTACTATAGACCACTCTTGTAGTTATGGTGTCAAAAATGCTGTCCCCCCCTTCCAGTATAAGTAATTGTGAAGGAATCCCCCATCATTTGGAATGATGCTATTCCCTTTTTCCCTTTTCACATGTTTGTTTGAGCTCCCTTAGTTAGGTTCCCGAACGAGGACCACCCCAGCACCCCTTTACAATGTGGAACACCAATTATTAAGTACAAAACCACAACAAAAACAATTAATGAATGCTCCCCTGGGTGGCCGCCATTTCATTTAACCGAACACACGTGGTCGACAGAATGGCATCATTGAGTGCCTGGAAGTCATTTCGGCTAGGCACTCCCACAAACACTGGTGAAGATGGAACCGCTACCTGTTCCAGTTTTCAACCAACTATATGAATGGCGTTCGGGAGATACTACCGACAAGGGGGAGCATTCGCTACTTGAAAGCATTCTGATATTTTGTGTGGTTTTCATACAGGAACCCCCGAACCGAGCCCGGCCATTGCCACCATTTCCCTGGAACTTTTTTGGGCTTCTACCTCATGGCCGGCCAGTTAAAACTTTATCCCGGTGGCGATTCCATACCACCAAACTGATCTGAGCTCTTTTTGGCCAACTTGGGCGCTCAGGTCAGGGCTTTCCAGGGATGTGTACACATGTATTTTTGGGGTACCTGCTGGGGGTCTGTGTATAAATTGAGAGTGCTTGCTTGAAATAAACAGATTCACTCCCAGCATTCAGTCTTGACTAATTTAATGGGGGACAGCTA